AGCCGCGCCGTCACCTCCAGCTGCTCGTAGTCGATCAGCCCCGTGGCCGGCTGTGAGGGATGGATGACAAGAAAGCTCAGTCAGCCCAGGAATGGATGGACAGACAGACAGACAGCTTGCCAAGGCATCCCTTTCCCCCCGCTCCAAGCACAGCACCTCTGGCTGAGCCACGGGCATCTCCCATGGCACGGGGACACATCTGGGACTCCTTGGGACATGGAGGGCAGGGCAGGAGCTGCTGGAGCAGCTTGGGTACCTCAGGGCACCACTGGGATCACCCACAGCCACAGCCCCCCCCTCCCCCCCGGATCCTGCCCCTCAGCTCACATCCAGCTTGTAGGGCATCGACTCGAAGAAGATGGAGGTGGCCGAGATCTTCCTGACGTCGGACATGTACCCGTGGGTGAGGCTGCGGGGAAGGTGCGGGGTGAGCCCGGGACCCCCGGGAGGCAGCGGGTTCCAGGCCCCCCCGGGAGGCAGCGGGCTCCAGGCCCCCCCAAACCCCCACTTACTGGCCCCCGTCGGGCAGGTCCAGCCCCATGAGGCGGTCGTGGGGCTGCAGCAGGGCCGTGTAGGCGGTGAAGTTGGCCGGGGACCCCGAGTAGGGCTGCACGTTGACGCCCCAGCGCGCGGGGTCCAGGTCGAAGGCCTCGAGCGCCCTCCGCTCGCACAGCAGCTCGATCTGATCCACCACCTCGGCCCCCCCGTAGTACCTGGGGGACACGGGGCGGGGTTATGGGGGCTCCCCCCGCCAGCCCCCACCCACTGTGCCCCACAGGAGCCCCGGTGCAGAGGGCAGCCCCCCCTCGGGGGAATCTCAGTCCTGGCTGCAGAGGGACCCCTGATGCCCCCCAGCCCCCTCCCTGCTTTACCTCCTCCCAGGATAACCCTCCGAGTACTTGTTGTTGAGGCAGGAGCCCAGGGCTTCCAGCGCCGCCCGGCTGCAGAAATTCTGGAGGAGAACTGGGGGTCAGAGCTGGAGCCACCAACCCCCCCCTTGATCAGGGGTCCCCTGGGCCCTTCCCCACGCCCCCCCAAAGCCCCCCAGTCCCCACCTCAGAGGCAATGAGCTCCAGCCCCCGGCACTGCCGATCCTTCTCCTTCTGCACCAGGCTCCAGATTTCGGGGTCGCTCTCGGCCAGGCTCTCCTGCCCCGTCCAGCTGGGGACGTGCCCGGTGGTGGCGGCGGCGGCGGAGCCGTGCTGTGCCCGCTGGCTGCCCTGCTGTGCCCGCTGGCTGCCGGGGCCCCCCCGGGCCCCCCATCGCTGCAGGGTCTGCACGGGGAGGGGGGAACAGGCTGTGACCCCACAGGGAGGGTGCTGGACCCCCCTTACCCCTCCAGACCTGCAGGGACAGGCTGTGACCCCACAGGGAGGGTGTTGGACCCCCCCTTACCCCTCCAGACCTGCAGGTGACAGCAGCAGGAGCGAGACCCCCAAATTCTGTCTCCAGTCACCGGTGTCACCCCCCCGAGGTGGGCACACGGTGGACCCCCCCAAAGGTCCTCATAAGGCCCATGGGGACCCCTCCAAGCTCCCCCACAGGGTACATGGGGACCCCCGGGGACCCCCAGGGACCCCACCAAGCACACGGGGACCCTCCCAAGGTTCCCACAAGACACGTGGGGACTCCCAAATACCCCAAAGGCATATGAGGACCCCCAAGGACCCCATAAGGCACATGAGAACCCCCCACAGGGCACATGGGCCTCCCCCCCAAGCCCACACGCACCCCCAGATGCTCATCCACGGCCCCCCCTCGTTGTACACGGGGGGTTGTGTCTGCCCTGCAGGACCCCCCTCCCAGCGCCGTGCACAGCGAGGGGGGTTCCCCGGTGCCCCCCTCGCCCCGGTGCCCGGTGCCGGGTGATGTAACCGCCGCCGCCCCATTGCATCACCCGCGGGCCGCGGGCACCGGGCAGGGGCCAAGGCCGGTGGCTGTTCAGGCTCCGGGGACTTTGGGACAGACACAAAGTCCGTGAGGAGGGTGATGGGGAGGACGGGACCCTTCGGGGGACACGACACCGGGATGGGGGCGTCGGTGCCCAACGGGGGGCGAGGGCGGTGGGGAGGCCCGGGATGGAGCTGAGACCCCCGGGGGCGCTGGAGGGGGAGGAGGGGGGTACATGGGGGGCGAACAGCTGGGCACCGGGACTCCCTCCAGACCCTCTGCGGCGAGCACCGGGACCCCCCCACTGGGGACGCCCCGGAGACCGGGACCCGTGTGAGCACCGGGAGACACCGGGGACCGGAGCACGCTGCGGGCTCCGGGACCCCGCGAGCACCGGGGCTCTCCTGGGATCCCCCCTGGGCTCCGGGACCCCTGCGGGCACCGGGACTCACCGGGCACCGGAGCCCCGAGCGGGCCCACCCCTACCGGGCACCGGGACCCTCCCCCCGGGCACCGGGACCCCCGCGAGCACCGGGAGACCCCCGGGACCGCAGTGCCCGGCGCGCACCGGGACCCGCGCGGGATGGGGGAACCCTCACCGGGGACCCCTCACCGGGGACCGGGACCCCCCCAACCCCCGGGGATCGGGACCCCCCCCCCCTCCCAGCGCCGGGGCTCACCCTGCCCAGGCGGAGCGGCCACATCTCGGTCCGACTGCACGTGGGTCCCGGCGGGGTCCCGGTCCCGGTCCCGGCCCCGGTGCCCGCCTGGCCCCGCCCCCACGCGCGCGCTGCCGGGGGGGCGGAGCCACCGGGGCCGACGGGAAACCGGAGATCCGAACCCTCCCCCTCCGCTGGACCAGGGTCATCCCTGTCCCCCCCCATCCCCATCCCCAATCCCGGGAGTTCCCCATCCCTGCGCTCCCAACCGGGGACTCCCCCATCCCAGTTCAAAACCCTCCACCCCCAATCTGGGGCTCCCCCATCCCTGCTCCCCCTCCTTCATCCCTGGTCGACGAGGATCAACACACCTTTTTTTCTTTTTTCCCATTTTCTCTTTATTTTCCACTTTTTTTTTTTTTTCCATTTTAATTTTCTTTAAAAAAAAAATGATGAAGAAGCCCCTTCCCGAGTGGGGGTGGGGGAAGCAGCCCCTGGGGACCCCACCTCCCACCCCCCCCGTCCCTGACCCCCGCCTGGCACTTCTTCACGGCGTGGGGTGTGGGGGCTGCACACCTGGAAGGGCCCCCCATGGAGGGGGGGGGGG